ACTGACCAAATTTCATGGGCCCCTCTTCCCTCCAACGCTTCATTCCACGGCACCATACCAAGCAGCTTCTTCAAGAGGCCAAAGTCAGCTTTCCCAAAGTCCAGGTGGTCAGTCTGCTGTGCGCCTTCCTCGCTGCCTCGAGGATCTCAAACTCCACCATTTCATGGTTACTACAGCCCAGGCTGCCCTTGAGTTTGACACTGTCTACCAGCCCCTCCTTGTTGGTAAGGACAAGGTCCCGCATAGCTCCCTTTCTCGTTGGTTCCTCAACCACTTGGAGAAGGAAGTTGTCCTCAATGCAATCCAAGAACCTCCTGGATTGCCCATGCCTGGCCGTGTTACCCTTCCAACAGATGTCAGGGTGGCTGAAGTCACCCATGAGGACCAGGGTCTGTGAATGTGATGCCGCCCCTATTTGTCTATAGAGGGCTTCATCCACTCGGTCCTCTTGGTCAGGTGGCCTGTAGCAGACTCCCACTTTAATGTCCCCTGCTCCCGATTTCCCTTTAATCCTGACCCATAGGCTCTCCATTGGCTCTTTATCTATCCCTGGGCTGAGCTCCATGCATTCCAGCTGCTCGTTCCCCTGCCTGTCTCTCCTGAAGAGCCTGTAGCCTTCTATGGCAACACTCCAGTCATAAGAGTCATCCCACCAAGTTTCCACAATACGAATGAGATCATAGCCTTTGGTTGCATCTTGCCCCTCTTTGGACCTCCTGTAGCCCTCAATGAAGGAATAATGCAAAGAGAAGGAGCTAGGGTGGTGCAACAGCACCAGGCTTCACATTCAATCCAAAACAAAATATATTGGTCAGTTACAGAGCCAAACTAAAACAAAAGTTACATACAGCCCATTCAGTTTGTTCTTGCTCATTAAAAGGAAGCTCTATCAACCAAGCAGTTGGTCATCAGAACTGTAAAAACAAAACCAAGATCTCATCTACCTTCTGCTGTATAAGGAAGCACAAAGGGCCAGTAAGATACAGTTTTCCCATCAATCTCACAGCAATGGTGAGGATATAAAACCAGCTCATTTAAAACTCTATGGCGAAACAGCTCATACACTGTTCCCTTCCCAAGCATTCATTTAATCAGGGCTATCCAGCCAGGTAGTGACAATGCCTTAGCCAAATTGGTGCGAAATTCAGGTGCAACACAGTGATTGCCTTAGCATGCCTCATTCCTCCCTGATGCTAATGAGGGAGGCAAGTATCTCCTTTTGTCATTACCATGGCTGACTAACATGCTTTCATACTATGATCTATCTATTTAGCCAGCAGATTAATTTCATGCAACTTTATGTCACTAAGAAGTGTATAATGTTTTCAGTCAGCTCCTTGTAAGATCAATCTTGATAAGACAATCAGGATGCCTTAATGATCCTTAAAGAACAAGCAATTCAGAAATCTCTGCTTTAAACTAAGTAATCAGAGCATGCTTTGAGCTTATTAGCCAGTGGCAAGTCAACTTTCAGTCATACCGCAGAGCCTGTCATTCTGCTTACAGTGGCCATGTCCTATTAAGCCATAACTCAAAATGGACTGCTGCTTTAAGTTGTCTCTAAGTTCAGAGGAGGGGCATATTAAGAGCATTCACAGCTTTATGAGATGATTTGTCATAATAGAATTCCCTCTTCAGAGATGAGACAGAAGTACATTAGAGACAAGAAACGGGAAGTATTAGTCTAGATGAAGGCAAAGTTCTCAGAGTAGAACAGCACATTCTAAGTACACAATACTTCTATCTTACCTGATAGACATCTCCATTAACCACTCCATCAACAGCATCTGTAAAGAAGTGACTGTAGTTTAGCCATTTGAGAAGAGACAGAACAGCCAGATTTACTGATTTCAGTAACTTGTATGGAAAGCTTTACTAGACTATCTAATATGGAAGTTAGGTAAATGAGTATTACTTTGTACTCTGCAGGGTCACTTCCTTATCTCTGCATTTTTCCCTGACAGGCATAAGAAACCAAGTGAGTAATTATTCTGCAGAAGGTCATTTCTTCATCATGAGATCATGCTTCAGACTCCCTAAACAACAGAGCTGATACTGCTGAGAAGCTGCTACAGCCAGTGTTCTAAGGTTACTCCCACTTTCTCCTCCCTGTCTTAGAAGCTGACTGTCAGACAACTGTTCAGGAGTTAAGAAGCACGACTCTAACTGTTTTAGTCTCTACCTGGAAGATTAACAATCCTGCACCCAACACTTAGTAATTCTTATCCTAGTTTGGTTACCTCCTATTTCCTAATCAGCCCAAAAACTATAGCTAACATTCCTAGCAAAGTCACTTTTCTGCTACCTTCTGTGGTAACACGTTTGATAGTTTCCTATTTCAGCTGCAGCATTACTCCCTCTGAAGTGACATTGGCAGTAGAGCCTCAGGAACAGGATCAGCTAGAAATCTTTGCCACAGGACCCTAAAATTTCATCTTATTAAAACACAGCCATAGGGAACATATGTCAGTTGTGAGACAAGCATCTGAGTTTATGAAACTATTTAAATCTCCAGACTACGCAAAGCACACCACGACTTTCAAGAAATGCGAAATCTCAGCAAGGTATCTCTCTGGAACAATACTATGTAACATCTGCCTGCATGACTTAACGAGTCATGTTAATACCTTTGTCTCACCCATAACTCTACCACGGATAAACTTAACACACAGAAGTGTTTCCATCATGTTAATATGCTCTTCAATGAAAGAAGAGACTGTACCCAAATCACCCAACAGTATGCAGAAAATCAAGTTATTTTGCACCACCTTCTTAAATAAGATGCCTAATTCACCTACAAAGAGCATCATGCTGCAGTACCCTTAATTTCTTTGCGGCTATGTATGTCCCAGTTTCACACTAGTAGTGTTAATGGCACACAGGAAGCTCTTCATACTCCTTTATCAGGAAACTAGGGGACTATTAATAAGCCCTGAATAGCAATCATTAACTGTAGTAGGTAGAGGACTGTAAAGTCATCTGTTCAAAAATGGTACTTAAGTTGGAAGATACTATTCTCCAAGACCATACTTACTAGATTTAACAGAGGAAGACACAAGTTAACAAAAACTAGCTTTTCAGTTATGAGAACCTAGTACTTTATAACTAGAGTCCTGTATCTGAAAGAACGGGAGCTATTTTGTTTGACTGCTATTCCTCAGCAAGTTACAGGAGCCAAAAAGAACTGGTTTGAGAGGCACATAAAGCTAAGAGCATTTATCTGCTTCACAGCAGCTACCCTCCACATCACATAACATCAATCTGGAAGCTCCCTCAAAGCAGATTTGTAGTGACCACTGCATGTCCGCTGACTTGGGCAGTTACAGCTACAATTAACAGTTCTCCTAAATAGGTTTATGAAGACTAAAGCCACAGAGCAAACACGCTTGCACTTCACAGTCCTTCAATTTAAGCCCATCTGCACTACAGAGGCACGCTGCAGCTGTTCACCTTGTTTTGACAGGGCTGCAATTAAAGCTAAGCCAAGGTCTGTAACTCGTCTTGACATTAGCAGCCTGAATAAGCCAGCCGGCCACTCTGCCTACCTTGGAAGAGCAGAGAGCAATTCGCACATTCAGACAATCAAACTGGAGACACAAGTTTATTGCTACAACGTTCAAGGGAGGCTAGCCTTTAAATATATGTAGTTCTCATCCCCAGAAGGAAGGCAGTTGTTTCATGACAGGGACTCCTTGGAAAGCACTCACTCACCCACTAGGTGAGAGGGCCAATACATCTTGAAGATTCTTCCAAGAACTGTGATAATATGATTAAGTTTTCTTGTTATATCAAGAAACATTCATTAAGGTCTTCAGTACTCAGGCTGGTAGTCTGCTGAGGTAAAAGGAACAACATTGTTGCTGAGTGCTACAGCTGAGATAAAACAGATGCATTTCTCTCAGGGCCACTTTTCTTCTGCACAGAAACAGCCAGTAACTGGCACAGAGCAAAGTGTTTCCAGAGGGCACCTAGGTCATAAGCATTAAAAACTTCTCATCTGTTTTCAGCTTCCTAGAACTTGTGATTAAGATGCAGAGTCAGCACGCTGACTGAGCATACTGTGAGCAGCAGAGGAAAGGGCACTTCACTAGCATGCTCTCAATATGCCAATACAAGTATTCTAACTGGACTAAGACCAATAGTCAAACGTTCTCTCATTGCAGCTCTCCAGTCCCAATGTTTGTATAATTCAGTATGAGGTCTAGAAAAACTACCTGCTTTCCAGCCTTTATACCAGTAATCAATGCTAGTTGTGTATCAAATCTCATTGTCCACAGAAACATGTTGTTTCATACCTGACTTCCCACAGAAAAAGCCTACACACTGTTACTGCTATCATCATGTCTTTATCAGCCATGAACAATGAGATCTCTCTCTTGGCTTCAGACTCCATCCAATGCAATACTGTGGTAGAATCTTGAAGCTCCTAAAGTTAACATTGCACATTTAGAACTATTCTGGTTAGTAACGATCCATATTTCTTGGTGTTTGCTTCTGCATTTAAGATAAATAAACTATCCTTTAAGATAAATAAACTATCCTTTAAGATAAATAAACTATCCTTTAAGATAAATAAACTATCCTTTAAGATAAATAAACTATCCTTTAAGATAAATAAACTATCCTTTAAGATAAATAAACTATCCTTTAAGATAAATAAACTTGAAATTAGAAACAAGTTTTGTCACTTCAGTCCTACAAGTGAATGTATGGCTTCAGAGGCTTATGGCAATGATGACCAACTACTCCGAAGGCAATTACTTGCATCAATGCCAGAATCAGTACTACCTGGCATAAAAGGAAGTTTGCTCAGCCTTGTTCACTAGTCTCTCTGAGTCTTACTCTAAATGCGAAAGACGACAGCTATCAGAAGAGTCAGAAGCAACACTTTGAAGGGGTAGCTCTTCTAACACAAGTCCAACCACTTCCTACCACATGGGTTAGCTTCTCCTGAGGTCCCCCTATCCAGCTATGCTTTAGAAAATATCCTCATGCACAAGAAATGAGCCATACAGAATATGACCATACAGAAAAGTACTCTTTATGAGCTACTTTCAGCATCTCCTTTAAACAGTAAGTACTTTACTTCTTCATTGCTACTTTGAGTGAAATAGTAGTTATAGATAAAGCAACAGAAGAACGTAACCAAGTTTAATATATTCTGGCATAAGGTTGTAACTTCACCACTCAAGGCCTAGTTTCCCATCCTTTTTATTTTGGGCATAGCATCATGCTTCTCCTTCACCTACCTCTCATCCATAAGAGGATGAGAAAGAAGAATCTTCTCCAAAGTTTTTGTTTAGAGAGTTATGCAAGAAACTGAGGGAGAAGTAGTTTTTCTAGCCATAACTCATTCTCATTCCTGTGTGCAAAATACAGGCAAGCAGGTCTTCTTTCCTGTGTTTTAGGTTTAACCTGCTGTCATACCAAAATCCATTAGAGTTCCCTCATTTTCAATATAATCAATATGCTAGTACTAGACCACACCTTCCTCTCTGCAATAATGCTTCTGTAATTTCCCAATATAGTATTCTCTTGTAAAAAGAAAAATAGGTTTTTCTGCCATAAGCGTCTTAATAAGCTTATGTACCACCACAAAACAGCAAATGCAAGTTAAACAGATACCATCCCTTTACTATACATTTCTCAGTACTACCTTACACTGCTCTGAAGCCTCAAGATATTGATTGCATAGCAAACCCCAGAATAATGGCTGTTGAAACAATTAAGAAAAAATATCAATAGTCACAAACAAGTAACTCTTGTTTAAAACGTCTGTGGTGCTAACTAGAGAGACAGGAGGAAACAATTATTTCCTAAATAATTTAAGCAAATTCATATTCAGTCCCTGAAAGGCTATTAAACGTGATTTATGGACAAACCACCAAATGCAATTATGTTTCTTAATTGCTAAAGAGACCCTCTTCAGAAGATGGAAAACGTTGTTCATTCAAGTTTATGTAAAAGTGACAGAGCTTGAAACTGTGAAGGCAATGTTTGAGACTAGACAGCCTACATTAACTTGCGTGTATTTCCATGATTGTTAAAATATAAAACTGCTTTTCTTTGAATGTAATTCTCCATAAGATGCTACTTGACAAGCTGTCACAAGGTTTTTCTATTGACATACAAGTTCTAGAAGCCAAACACTTCAACCTGAACTTACTCTCTCCTGTTTAGATGACATAGCAAGTTCTGCTATAACCTGAAAACCTACTATTGTCAGACTGGAGAGAATTGAAGAATTTGACTGTAAATAAACACAGGCATTGATTTATCACTGAAAAGGAAATCTCATAAAAGACCAAGTTACTAACAACTAGGCAACCGCACCGTATTACTTGATTTATACAGTACTTCCTGTTTTCTGAAGCAGTAATTATGCTTCATCTTTCAAGGGAAATAAGATTAGTTTTCACATGCCCAGGAAGCTTGAACAGGATAGCTATTTACATAATAAATGGCCTACTGGTTCAGGCCAGTATTCCAACCCTGACCTTGTCAATATGATGTGATTCTGAGTGAAACACACAAGCTTGGCAACATTCTGCTATTCCCCCCATACTCACTCAGTATCCACCACTAATACAATTAATTAATATACACTAATATCAGTTTCCTGATATTGGTATTAACAGTCCATAGAGTTCACTTCTGTCCATGTATTTATGCAATCTTTTTTTTAAAGGGGCTGCAATTTAAAAACTCTTTGTTGTATGAGACACCATGTTTCTTACAAGTGTACTGCAAGAAGTTGGTGACCGTTTCTCACAGTATTAGAAGTTAA